AAAAAAAAAAAAAAAAAATCACATTGTTTATTCTAGATTTGCTTTAGTTATTATATTGAGTTCCCATCCCTACCTCTATAGTTCGTACAAATTGAATTGAAAGGAACCGTCAGTTTTCGTTTAAATTCACTAGTGAAATAGTAACTATAGTAATCTATCCAGTTTGCTAAACTGATTAAAAGTTGAGTCCTATGTATTAAAATTTATCTATTTATATATGTTAGCTTCCTAGAGTGCACTCCCATGGAATAAGCAGTGTTCTATGCACCTTTATATCCAAGCCTGGAAGAAAATAAATTACTTACTAGTTTTGAGCAAAGCAGGGGGAGCAGCAGGCAGCGGGAGAAGCAGGCTCCCCACTGAGCGGGGAGCCCGACACAGAGCTCGATCCCAGGACCCTGGGATCATGACCTGAGCTGAAGGCGGCAGACACATAACCGACTGAGCTACCCAGGCACCCCTGGTTTTAGTTTTTCAAACAAAAAGATGAGAATATGTATCTTTAGAAATACCCAACATAGCTTATATGTTGCTAAACGGATTTGGAAATACCAAGTTTAACCAAAGTATAAACTGTAACTGTTCAATTCACCATTAACCAAAGGCCTACACAAAGAGCTCTCTTGGGACGCCTGGGTGGCTCAGTGGGTTAAGCACCTGCCTTTGGCTAGGATCATGATCCCAGGGATCTGGGGTCGAGCCCCGCATAGGGTTCCCTGCTTAGAGGAGAGCCTGCTTCTCCCTCTCTGCTTGTGCTGTCAAATAAATAAAATCTTGAAAAAAAAAAAAAGCTGTCTTCAAAGAGCTCCAAACCAAGATCTAACAGGATTTAGGTATTCTAATGGATAGGTGCAGGTACATTTTTAGAGTGGTGAAGGAACTATCAAGGCATATATTGATTATATTATCCCTTAAGCTCATCAAGCTCCCTTTGCTATGAAACCATGATTTTCTGGCAACTTCTGATATTCTAGATCAAAGATTAGCAAATTTTCTTAAAGGGCAAGATAGTAAATATTTTAGGCTTGTAGGCCTTTAGTCTCTGTCACAACCAATCAGTACTGCTGTTGTAGCACAAAGCAGTCAGAAAACACGTAAACAAAATGGGCATGGTTGAGTTCCATGAAGACTATTTGCAGAACAGGTGGCCAGCCTGAGAGCTGTAGTTTGCTAACCTCTGGTCCAAATGGGGAGCCATATTACTCTCTTTATTTAAAGAGAATTTGGTTGATCAACAATATTCTAGTCTTCTTAGTAGTTTATATGTACTGCCAATTAATAAATGAAACAGAACATCAGTCATGCAACTGCCAATGTGATCAGTTTGAACCAGTCAACTCAGTGTGAGTGGACAGAAAACAGTGTTAGGATTTTGATCCTCATGATGCCTCCAATAGGCCCAAGGTGGGCAGCCAGTCTCTTTATGAGATCTTTATTAACTAAACAGACATTATAAGAATGAGCTCTAAAAACCAAAAAACCCACCATATTGGTAGCACTTAAAAAAACAAAAGCAGAGTTTAGAATAAAAACTGAGGGAATGCCAGTCAGTACAAAAACATCTTGACAATCAGTAAAAGCCTCTTAAGAGTAATGACAAAAAATTTCAGTGTCATTCAATTGGAAAAGAAAAATATCAGGTATAAGTGTCAAAACAAATTCTACCCAAAAGAGGCTTTAATATTAAGTCTAGAAATCTAAATGATTAAATTAAAAGGCTGAATCAAAATGTGAAGGCATTAGGGGTACCTGGCTGGCTCAGTAGGCAGAGTATGCAATTCTTGATCTTAGGGTTGTGAGTTCAAGCTCCACATTGGGCACAGAGCTCATTTTAAAAAAACAAAAGTGAGGGGGTGCCTGGGTGGCTCAGATGGTTAAGCCTCTGCCTTCGGCTCAGGTCATGATCCCAGGGTCCTGGGATCGAGCCCCACATCGGGCTCCCTGCTCCGCGGGGTGTCTGCTTCTCCCCCTCCTTCCTGCTCGAGCTCTCACTATCTCTGTCTCTCTCAAATAAATTAAAAAAACAAAAAACAACAACAAAAAAGTGAGGATATTAGTATAATTAGCACATCAGTTTAGTAGAAGGTATAGATGGTAATAAGAGGATATTGCAAGCTAACATCCAAATTGTAGTTAAGAAAGAAAATATTATTTCGATCAGCTATCTACAGAAATGATACAAACCAAGAAATACCCAAAATCTAACCAAGGTGATCAAAACAGATTGAAGAATATGGTTCTTGATGAGATCAGTGGTATCGCCTGATAAATGATGAGGCCTGATTCGGTGAGAGCCCTGTGATGGAGAGAAAGGTTAGGAGAGCTACTTCCATTTACTCACTACAGAACACTTACACATGTCAGAAGCTTTACACACATTGTTTCATTTAATTCTCCTAATAGTCTTATGAGGGGGATGAGTCTTTAGGGATGAGAAAACTTGGGAGATGTTAACCTGCCTAAAGTTACTAGTAGGAGGTAGAGCTGTGATTCAAACACAATCCAGGACTCTACAACTGGTGCTCTTAACCAACTAATTGCATTTTCCAAATGGATCACCTGTAGTATTCTGTCCTGCAATACTGTAAATGATAAGCTTTCAAAAATGTTCCATGGGCAAATGAGTTGGGAAATTCTGAGTGCTTACTGTAAACTAGGACTTCTCTGAGCCTTTACTGTAAATCTAAAGACTACAGAAAACAGCAAAATGGATTGGCTGGCTTTTCTAGATCATCTCTATCTTGTCCTTACTCTTAACTGTACAAAGTGACTAATTAATGGAAAAGACTACTTCTAGGATATGGACTAGATATGGCAGGAATATGTAATTAGAGTGCTCAAAAATGCCTGGATTTGAGACAGCATTTAAAAATGAATGTTTATATGTAACAAAAAATTAGAAGAGTTTTTAAAAAATTAAACTTAAATATATTAGATAACAGTTATAGTAAAAAATATGCTTTAATAATGGGAATAAAAGCTGTTCGGGCCCCCACGGTACCACCAACTCATAGAAGATCTTAGTTATAAACAGGCAGAAGGATGATGTAATCTTTCCCAACATAGTTAAAACTGGGTAAAGCACAATAGGTGTGTTCCTTGAATAGTCTGCCAAATATTTTTCCAGATTATAGCTATTGTGCAAACGGATTGGCATGAATAGTTATGTCCTTAATGTGTACATCATTAAGAGGTCGATAGGTCTTCTCATTTACTGGTAACTTCTCCAATTCATCCAGAGTCTCCAGACCATCTATTACC